TGCTGGATTTAAGAGTTTGTTTCTTCAATAGAAGCAGAATCAAGCTAAAATACAGCAATGAAGGTTGAAAAAAAATGCAATCCGAAAACCTGGCATCTCACAGCTAGTTTTCAGGAGACCACCAGAGCAAAGTGAGGCAGAATACTTTTGACAAAGCAAGTGGGTGGAGAAAAGCATGAAGGCATCTCAAACAGCTGTCTTGACAGAACCGGACCCCAGGACAGCTGACTGAGGCTCAAAATAACAGGACCCAATCCCTCCATTCCCTCCCTTGAGGAGAATAAGGTGACTGCTGGGGGGGAGCCGGAAGCTGGTCTCTCTATCTGGCCGTATGACAAATCCAAATATTTACATCAAAGCAACTCTGCTGATTACCGTGAAGGAGCAAAAAAGTGGGCTCATGCCAAGTGAAACTACCAGACCTGAAACATGAGTCTGGGAAAATCCAGGGCTACCCTGATGACATGGGGAAAAAAAGCTTTAGACCGCAGAGGTGGCATCATCTGCCTGTATTGCCACACAAGCCACTGCCAGTTGTTTCTTTCTCCTTCCCACTCCAGCCCTGCCTCTTCCATCAGATTGAGTTCTTGGACTATATTTTGTCTTCTACCCCATTTGCAGCAGCTCAGGGAAGTGGTCCTCAGGTTGCAATATCTTTCTTTCCTTACCCTCACAAGAGATTGGTCCAAAAGTTAAATGTCTTCTTTTTCTTCCCCATACCATGTATATGAGTAAGAGAGATGGGATAAAGCAGGGGCTTTTTTTTCCTCTGTAGGGCAGGTTGTACCTACTTCTTCTCTTGGCTTTCCTGTACCCTGTGGTTCTTTGTCCCATATAGAAAAGGTTCTGTGTAACCCTGCAATAGCCCCCACCTCATTTGCTGGTAATTCCTACATAGTCCTTCCCTCCCTGCAGCAGTTCCTTAATTATTTATGACTGTAAAGCATCCTGTGCCCATTCTGTACTAGTATAAATACTGACAAACCCCATACATTGACCTAAGCACAGGACAAAAGAAGAGCTTCCTGTCCTCAGAGGCAGACGATGCCTGTATACATTTCTGAATGCAGCATTGGCAATTAAATACTGCAACATAAGGAAAATAATTAAATCTCTTACCCAGCAATTGATTAGTCCTGAGAATTAAAAGTCTGATCTAGGGCAAATTTTAAGGATGACTCTTACTGGGGTTCATTCCTGATGAAATGCATTCTTCAAACCTATTAATGCCCCAACATATTAGTTACTGTGAATTGGACACCTTAAACCTGCAGTCATTTGTAAAGGATTTAATCCAGTCCCCTGATGCTCTTTCCACCTACCTGCTCTTCTGTCTCCTCCAGTGGGTTTTTTTCCACTATTGTGTAGGAAAAGAATTTTCCCTATTCTTCCCATTTTAATGTGTTTGAACCCCATACAGAGGGAGCCCCCCAGACTAGCTGTTAGACTCTGTAGATACGTGGAGAAAACTCTGGCTGAAATCTGGAACATCCAGATTCCAGAACATTTTCATAGTGAAACTCTGAAGCTGAAAACTCTGCAAGTGATTTTGATATCCACAAACTATCCTGCAGGAAAACATTGACCTAAAACCAGCGTCATAATGCATGCTTTTCCTGCTCATCCATCTCTTTATATTTTGCAGGAAATCTGTGAGAATCCACGGTTTATTATTGGTGGAGCCAACAGAACAGATATCTGCCAAGGAGAATTAGGTATGAAATTCTGACTTCAACTTTGTGCTTTTTAAATTCTGCATCACTCAATTTTCTTTTGCTTCCAAGGTGCTATTTGAAATCCTCTGTCTCAGTACTGGTTCCTTCTCTCTATAGCAGATCGTTGATATCTGCCTAGTAGTAATCTAGGGAAGAACTTCAAGTGAAAGGTGCTCTGCAGGGTGTTTTGCTTTTCATGAGCTGATATCATGAGTGTGTTACAAAGCACTGTTTGGCCTTTCTTTTGGGCTTTGGGAAGGGACAAAATTAGTTAAGACAAGAATAAGAGATAAAGAGGAGTTATTTGACCAAGAGAAAAATCTGATCAGCAACTGTTGTATTTTTTCAGGTATTTAGTCCTGTTATTTCCATACAGGAGCTTCTCAAGGCATCCAGCTAAGTGTGCCTTGTACTCAAGGACAACCCCTATATTGAAGACCTTAAGCTCAGATGCTCAAAGACACTTCGGTATATAGAGCCGTTAGTTAGGTACAAGTGATGCCTCTGCAACAGTTGCCCATGCGGCACTCACCTGCACTGCTTTGTAAAGTCATTCCCCATGCAGCTTTCCCAGGCCTTTCATGGTTTCATAACTTCTCCTGTGATTTCTTTTTCCCTAAGCTAATACATCCTAAAGTGTGTTAATTTTTTCATTTAAGTGTTGTTCCATGCTTGTGACTGTCACCATCACCTTCCCAGTAATTTTTTTTTTTTTTAATTTATTTAAAACTGCCTTTCTCTTTGAGGTAACCAGAACTTCACAGTTGCCAAGGTGCAAATGAATTTATGTGCATAGTATGTTCTCTCTTGTGTCTTCCATTCCTTCCCCAACTACGCGTAGCATTGTTTACCTTTTTGACTTCTGCTGAGCATTGGATAGTTCCCAAAACTCCCGTTCTCAGCGGACCCTGCATTCTCCCTAAGGGGAAATAGGTAACAGAATGTACTGCTATATTTACAGAGCTGGCTTTCCAAAATATATACATATACGTATTTCTATATGTTTTATCACTCCACCAATTTCTTTTCCAAGTCTCTGCAATCAGGTTTAGTTTTCACTACCTCATGCAATTCTCTCACCCCACTAATCCACACTGTTCAGGTGAGCCTACCCTATAACCTCTCTTACAGTAGGAGTTCAGAGGTTTTAATTAAGGACTGAGGCATCCTTTGCTGAACACAGAAGTACTGTGGGAGAAAGGCAGTTTCCCAGAGCTCCCACAGAGGTAGCACACTTGTGCAAGAGTCTGAAGGAGGAACCAAAAAGCGCTAAAGGGACGGTCTTTACAACAGCGCAGACACAGATTTAAAAAGAGGAAAATGTGTCAGAGAAATGAGGCAGGGAAGGGGCCCCATGAAACAATGATTGGGACAGTGGGTTATCTTGACAGCCAAGAATGAAAGCGAGAGACTGAACCTCAGCTGTACAGAGCTCCACCTGGGAAGGAGTTCCCTCTCAGCTGGTCTCTGTCCTAGGACTTGGAAGGAAAAGTAACATGGGAAGTCAGATAGTCACATGGAACAGGGAAATCTTAACACAGGTAACAGTGCTCATCTAAATTACAGGGCGCATCATCTATTTAACAGGCATGTACCTAGCCATGAACGATGCCAACAAGCATTTCCAGAGCACAAATAAGCGAAGCGTTAAAGTACTGCAGAACGCATGGACAAGAGCCCGCTCCTGAAAGGCGATGGCACGCTCTGCTGAGAATCAACATGTCCCTTGGCAGTATCTCAGGTTTTCCCTCTGATTCTCTGTCCCTTCATTCTGTCTGCTGCTTCTGCTTGTTTCCAGGTGACTGCTGGTTCCTGGCTGCCATTGCTTGCCTGACACTGAATAAAAAACTGCTCTGTAGAGTCATACCTCATGACCAGTCCTTTATACAAAACTATGCTGGCATCTTTCACTTCCAGGTGAGTCCCTTCATCTAGCAGGAAGCAGATGTAATTCTATTAGCCCAAGGAAGAGCTCAGCTTTTGGGCACAACTCTTCCCTCTCGCTTCTCCACCCTTTGGAAGTGTGAGTGACAGTGTGGAAGGAAGAGGGATTGAATTGCCTGACCCTAAACTCTTCCAGCAGGGCTGTTACAGAAAGGCCAGCCCACACAGGCCATCAGGGAGCATTAACCCACCAAGGAAGCATTTGCAGATTGCCATGTCCTACACGTAAGGGGTGGCAACAGGTGCCCGGTCCTGCCTCGCTGCTCAGATGCAGCGCGACAGCCAGCACCAACACCCTGGTAGTTGGCCAGAGCATCTAATTTTAGGCCCACAAGCAGCTGGTCTGTCAAAAACAAGTTATTGAAGAACTGCTTATTCGGAAAAGATTGACTGCTTTCCATATTTCCCTTGGCTCTCCTAAGGGACCTCTCACTGTCCTGCAGGCGTTGCCCAGGGGAATCCACTCCGGCTGCCTCCCTCCCAACAGCCAGCGCTTTTTGCCACATTATGAAGCGGTTAACGTCCACATTTCTCCTCTCTCAGCCTGGCTTTTCAGCACCAAATCAACCCAGAGTTTTTCTTCTGCTTGCCTTTATCCAGTTCTGGCGCTATGGAGACTGGGTGGATGTCGTCATTGATGACTGCTTACCCACGTACAACAACCAACTTGTCTTCACCAAGTCCTCCCAGCGCAACGAGTTCTGGAGCGCCCTCCTGGAAAAGGCCTATGCAAAGTAAAACGACCCACCGGACCGTGCTGGGCTCCCTGCCAAGGCTTTGGCCAGGGAGGTGGTTAAACCACTGCGTGCAGGACCTATAATGAGCACGTAGAGAGGCTCTGAACATGCCAGTGCCTTTTCCCATAGATTCTCATGCCTCAGAATTGGGGATGGGGTAAATCATATTTACTAGGGGGTGTTGCTACTCATTCAGAGGTCTACATTTGATTCCCAACATCTCTTTCTCCTTTTTTTTTTTTTTTTAAATGCGTGCAGGTGGCATGTTTTAAAACTTTTAACTTGAGGGTTACCAAACGGAGGGTTTGTGGGGTTTTTTAGTCTGTGTGTTTACATGTCTTTATGTATTATACACACACACAAGATAAATGTATATTATGTATAAAAAAATATATATATAGGTATGTATCTTTATCTGTGTAAAAGAGAATCTTGTTTTTCTTTTCCCTTTCCAAGACTCCATGGGTCATACGAAGCTTTGAAAGGAGGCAACACCACTGAAGCCATGGAGGACTTCACTGGAGGAGTCACAGAGTTCTATGAGATAAAGGATGCCCCTAAAGATATCTATAAAATCATGAAACATGCCATTGACAGAGGATCTCTCATGGCCAGCTCCATTGATGTGAGTCCATATGAACTTTGCACATGGGCTGTAAGAAATGACCGAGGAGAGGGACCGCTCTGTCTGTAATCAAATATACACCATCTTTTAGGACTGCTTGGTTTAGTCCACATAGCAAACATCCACTTCTAGGAAGTGGAGCAATCTCCACTAGACACCACCCATTAGCAAATAGCAAGTGCCAAAAGGGAAATGAACAGAAGCAGAACACGGAGGTGGGGAGAGGGGGTGCGATGAGCAAACACAGCACCCCTCCCCCCACCCTCGGTGCCCTCACCCAATAAAATGAGGGTAGTAGGGGGGTGCCACAACTCTGTTAAGACACTAATCTTCATGCAAAGATACTAAGTGTGCAAATGCTTGGGAAATCAAGCCTTCAATTGCCAACATAGTCTTAAATTGCCTTAATGTACTGTCAATTTAAAAGTGAAAGTAAAAAACCCTAGCTTCAATAACCATTATGGAGTATGAAGTCACACTGAAGGCAGAAGAACAACCAGTGCTATCAACCACTGTAGATAAGTTTGGACCATCTAGCATGTAATGACAGAGAAGTTATCTAGGCTATCTTTTACCACTCATCTCTCCTGTATATTTCTGTTCTCTTCTCTCTCCCTGCCTCATCTTTCTGCATGACACTTTTCTTCCGTTCTCTGTACCAGGATAACCTAGGCTTTTCCTACGGATCAGCTCCTCGGAGTGACATTGGGCAACTGATAGCTAAGATGGTGAAGAATCTAGAAAACGCACAGATGACCCACTCCACTGTAGACTACCAGGGGACAGACGAAAGGCCAGCCTGGGTTCGTATGCTTCCAGAAGTGGTTGACTTCACAGGGCCTTTATTTACAGACAGAGCAGTTAGAGAAACACACCAGCTGTGCTTTTAAATCCCTATTTGGCTTCACTGAGTTATCCCAACACTAAAGATCTGTTCATATGGATGCTATTTGACATATGCGTTAAAGGATTTCAGTCCTTTCAAACGCAGTGACTGATTCTAGAAGGCTTTGCTGATACTGAGGCAAAGGAAGGGCTGTTGGCTTGCGGTATAAAGGCTTATAATTTCCAGAGCTTACCTGTACAGTAGAAGTGGAGAGCAAAATCACATCAAATATGTCAAAGTGGCACATTGGTTATTGTATTTGGGAACTGGACATGACTAGTGGATTTTATAAACTCCCTCGCTTGCAAAGGATGGAGAAAGTTAAAATACTAGAGTGGAACAAGATCCCTGAGTGTGGAGGGGGGTGAAAGAAAGAAAAAGCGAGCTCTGCACAGCTCTCATTCCAGGCACAAAAGCTCTTGGTGAACTTATTTTGAGACAGAGTGCTATGGAGCTCTGCCCACCCGTGGAGGGCAGCCTGCTTGCGGGATGCTCCTTTTAGATTATTGCCTTTGAGATCCTCACTTAAAATGCATAGCAAGGAAAATTAAAAACTACAAGGTTTGTGTGTGTGATAAAATACAAAGTAACTACAGCATACCTAAGAATCTAGAAAAATATAGAGAGAGAGATGTTAAAACAATTAAAGGAAAATCCTGTATCGGGAAACTTAAAAGCTTCCAAATCTGTAGAGGGAGACGTTCTTTCCCCTCTTCTGTGTCAGGCAACTGCCACACCTTGCCCTTCAGGGAGCTGCCTTTCCATGGCAATGAAATGACTTCTCTCACTTTACAGAAATTAAAAACCCAACACCCACCCCAATTACATAATCTAAACCCCCTGGTTGCGCAAACTGTCTTCTGCATCTGTGGCAGAAATAGCTGATTTTTCCTCTTTCGACACCCATATTTAGTCTCCCTAAAAGACTGAAATGGTGTCATTCCTCAGGAAAGCCCAGTATGACTGTCTTGTTTTGCAAGCACGGCCGCCCAAATCACCCATGTTTTGGGGGGAATATCTGCCCCAGTGACTGCCTACTCAAAGAAGGTTGGAAAACTCTCCATAGCTGCTACCCCGGCAGCCGTTCTGCTGCTGGTTATTACACGCCCCTGAACCGTCACCAGGAAAAAAAAATAAAATCATGATTCTTGACGGAAAGAGGCAGATAGTGCAGACTTCAGAAGGACTTCAAAGAAGTGGCCCCAGGCACCAGCAGAAGTTAATATTCTTAAACAGAAAAGAGAGGAAGGGGTTCCGATAAGTAATGATGGCGACAACACGAGTAGAAATTACAGAAAAAGGAAATAGATATGAGATTATAGGCATTAAAAGTATGGAAACAGGAGCAAGAGGAAAAAAAAAAAAGAATCAGCAGCAGAAGGGAAATAATGGAAAATAATTGTGACAGCCAGGAAATACTTGGACAAGAGCCTCCCTGTGCAAGCTGAGAATGTATCTGTGTGACCTTACTAATTCTCCATTTCCAGCCCTGCCTTTCTCATGACCTCAGACGTGTCAAGAAGGGATGGCAGAGTTACTGGCAGGGCCTTCCACTTCTCGCTCAGCGACAGACATAGTGGAGGAGAGGACTGTCCGCAGGTGGTCCGCATGTGTGTAGCAGAGCTTTCCCTTCCCACCGTTCTCAGTGATCTCTCCTACAAACACAGCGGGCTGCGTGCACCTGCCGGCTTCCTCTCGATTCTTCCTCTCCCAGATAAACAGCTTTCTGAGATTTGCAAAGTAAAATAAATAAATTCTATCAGGTGCACTAACAGTGGATTACCAGACAGCAAATGTATTTACACCCGAGCAACACATTGCTGAAGAAAGCTATGCTCTTCCTGAATGTCAGCTGGAAAAAATTTCAATCATGAGGATTTTAATGATTATGGAATAAAATGTAAATCTACACAGGAAATTAATTTAAAAAAAAAAGTTAGTAAGAACACTGTATTAAATAGGGTGGTTTAATGTCATTGTGACAAGATCGCAGCCATGTGTAAAGATGAAAGTGTTCTAGGTGTTGGTCTGCTCTGATGTTTCCAGTTGACATACAATAACCTTACTGAGCCATACAAGAACATACTATCCCAGAAAGGACTGAACAGTCCTACTAATAGAAAATCTAATTATTTTGATTAAGCATACTCTATACTGGCATGTTTCAAGTGCAAAAAGCAGTAACTAACTTACACAAAGGGAAAAAGCAAATCACAACATGTCCTTTTCAATTGTTATTAACAACTTTTTGCTTTTTTAGTTCACGTTTCGCTCCTTTCTAACCAGCAACATTAATTCTGTGGGCACTAAGCTTGGCCACCTTGACAAACACAAAGAAGAGAACAAGACAAAAAATGCCGGCACCTGAATGGCGTCATCCTCCCACCAAAAGCCCAGGGTGGCAATGCCTGCCTTCGAGCAGCCGGCTGGGCTTTGTGTGACCCTTACAAATTTGTATCTTGTGTCTAACAGACCATAGTGCCAATGCAGTATGAAACCCGAATGTCCTGTGGGCTCGTCAAAGGTCATGCCTACTCTGTCACGGCTGTGGAAGAGGTATGTACAGACCATTCCCTCCAGCTATGGGGAGCTGTGGTAGATGCTGGTCTAGAACCATGCACATCAGCAAAGCTATGGGCAGAGGGGAAGCAAAGCAAATTATAAGCTAAGAAAACAAAATTTATATTTAAATAAATTAAAGCCTTGTGGAGAAATAGACCTGTCTGAGTTTTGGCTTTCTGGGGAAATGGGTATTCCGCCATGGCCTTCTTGGGCAAAGGTGGCCACGGCCAGCCACCTCCTGGTCTTACGGCCTTCCTGTACTCATCCCAAGCAGGTCAGGCTGGGCGATGGCCCAGGAAAGCACCATCACTGGAGGAGCTGGTATCAGCCATTTGACAGGCAGAACGTTTCCTTTTGAACCTACTCTCAGTCTATCCTTATTGCCTTTTTTTTCAATTAGACAACATTTAAAGGGGAAAAAATACGTCTAGTAAGGCTGAGAAACCCCTGGGGGCAGGTGGAATGGAACGGACCCTGGAGTGACAAGTGAGTAAAAAGGAGCTTCATATGATTTTAAAAAGAATTGCAGCTTTATTTGCCTTTGTGCAGCCTGTGCATGGCCCTAACATTTAATGATGAGGTATCTGAATTGTCTTTGCTGTCATTTTGACACATGCACTTTGAAGTTGATCATAGTTGAGTGGTTAGCTGAAGCTGTAGAAAGAAAAAAGTACCTAAAAAAGATGTGAAGAGGGGCTTTAATCAATGGAAACGAAGAGAGAGCCCAGTCGATCTGGTTTTACTGTCTAGCAAGTTAAGCAATGTCCATTTTCAAAACAAGATGTGGCAGTAGAAAAATTATTAGAAAAGTTATGGAAGAACTGGATGAAACAAGATGTCAGGACATGAGCAAGTTTGGATAAAGCTTCTCATTAGGTTTTACCAAAAGGAATTTCAATAAGCTACTCTAGCAATGAGAGTCTGCTAACACTTTTGTCTTCAAGCTAAATAAAACGAACACAGTTCAGCAGATTTTTGGGAGCTGCTAAGAGTAAGTCTGAAGGGAAGGTAGAGAGGAGTAGGGCAATTGCTTCTTTATTTGGGCATGTGGAGAGGAGGGTAGTGCTGAGAACAAATGGTTGCAAGGCTCACAAAGGAAAAATTTATGGATGTAGCAAGACAACTCTTGACTTTCCATTCCATGAGGCTGTCCTGGTTTCGGCTGGGATAGTGTTAATTTTCTTCCCAGTAGCTGGCATAGTGCTGTGTTTTGGATTTAGCATGAGAAGAATGTTGATAACACACCGATGCTTTAGTTGTTGCTGAGCAGTGTTTACACCAGTCAAGGAGTTTTTCAGCTTTCCCTGCACTGCCAGGAGCACAAGAAGCTGGGAGGGGGCATGGCCAGGACAGCTGACCCAAACTGGCCAAAGGGGTATTCCAGACCACAGGATGTCATGCCTGAGGGTAGTTGGTGGGGGGGGAGAGCAATACCTGCTCAGGAATGGGTTGGGCATCAGTCAGCAGGTGGTGAGCAATTGCACTGTGCACACTTCTTTTGTATATTTTATATATTCTCTTACCATTATTATTATTATTATTTTCCTCTGTCTTATCTCAACCCTCAGCTTTTACTTTTTTTCTGATTCTCTCCCCCATCCCACTGAGGGAGGTGGGGAGTGAGCAAGTGGCTGTGTGGTGTTCAGCTGCCTGCCAGGTTAAACCACAACAGAGGCTTACAGGAAAGAGTAGAAATTTTAATGAAAACTATATTGCAAACTGTAATCTAGCTTGTGTACTCTTTTGAAGGTCAGAGGAGTGGAACATCATTAATGAAGCAGAGAAAATCCGCCTGCAGCACAAGATCGCAGAGGATGGGGAGTTCTGGTGAGAATATCAGTCAAAAACCTGTGTTTCTCTAGGAGATACGCAACTATAGCAGAAGTGAATCACACTGAACTACTTAAATCTGCCAAAATCATTGCAGTAATCCCTGTTCACCTTCGTATTCCCAATATGTGCTGCTTTGTGATCCCCTCATTCTCCCTCCAGGGTTTGAGTGACACCAGCACAGTCCTAATTATACCACACTTCCACAAGCTCTCCATCACCCTTCCTATGTACTATCCTCTCAGCCCAGCATCCCCCAGTTCGGAGCTGTAGCTGTGTTAATTGACCAACCAGCAAGCCAAATGCATTAGGAAGTCACAACACTCCCACTGCAAACCTGCCCTAATAGTGGCAGTAACATGGGTCAACCTCCTCCACCTCACCAGGCTCTTTTAGACAACCGCCCAGCATGTGAATCCACCTGAGTTCAGTTTCCCCTCAATTCCTCCAGGATATCATTTGAGGATTTCATGAGGCACTTCACAAAACTTGAGATCTGCAACCTCACACCTGATACTCTGGAAGCTGATAAACTCCAGACCTGGACCGTGTCGGTCAACGAAGGACGCTGGGTGAGAGGCTGCTCAGCTGGAGGTTGCCGCAATTATCCAGGTGAGCAGTGTGTCTTAAGAGAGAGAAGGCCTCTTTGATAGGGACTGTATGAGATTCCACAGGCTAAGTCAGACCACAGCTTGATCAGTGCTTGGCCGTAGGAAAAGCCTTGCTTCCTCCGTGGACAAGGCATGCACTTTTGTAGCTGGAAATCACAGAATCTCAAGGGTTGGAAGGGACCTCAGGAGATCATCTCGTCCAACCCCCCTGCTAAAGCAGGTTCACCTAGAGCATGTTACACAGGACTTCGTCCAGGCAGGCTTTGAATATCTCCAGAGAAGGAGACTCCACAACCCCCCTGGGCAGCCTGTTCCAGTGCTCCATCACCCTCAGAGTAAAGAAGTTTTTCCTCATATGCAACTGAAACTTCTTATGTTTCAGTTTGTACCCATTGCCCCTTGTCCTGTCACTGGACACCACTGCAAAGAGCCTGGCTCTGTCCTCGTGACTTCCCCCCTTGAGATTTGTACATGTTGATGAGATCCCTTCTCAGTCTTCTCTTCTGGGATGTAATTCCTGGGATGGATTTATGGGGAGGCAGACTTTTTCCACTGCTCCTATCAAGTTTGCATTCAGTTTTTGAATCACATTCAATTTTGCATTCAGTTGCTATTGTGATGGGTGTGTTCAAAACGCTAGATTAGATTTGTGTATGTTGAGGACAGAGAGCTTGGCTGAATTTCGATGAACTCGTTCGTGAATAAGTAAGCAAAACATCACTGAATAAGATACTCAGCCAGCTTCAATAAATACATATGGTAGCAAAACAGCCAGCTAGACAAACAGAATATATCACACTGGAACGTCCACCAGGACTCCGAGGTCCCTCTCAGCAGAGCTGCTTTCCAGCAGGTCAGCCCCCAGCCTGTACTGGTGCATGGGGTTCAACCTCCTCAGGTGCAGCACTCGACACTTGCCCTTGTTGAATTTCATCAGGTTCTTCGCCCAACTCTCCAGCCTGTCCAGGTCCTAGGTTTGTGACAGCACCTTGTAAGCCCAAAAGGCAGGCCTGGCAAGGATAAATCACTGTTCAAATACTTCACAGTGCCCCAAGTAAGATAAGAGAGATCAATTTCAGTCTAACAGATTTCACTTGGGAAATCCACTTTCTGATAGCTTTAGATACTTTGGAAGTGTGTCAGATGCCAATTCTTCATTTTATAACCTCCTTTCCTGTGCAGTTTTGCTAGAACTATGTAAAACCCGTAACATGTAAAGAAGTACAGACGTATTAGCCCAGTTTTAACCTTTCTCTCAGGAACCACAGGCAAGGAACTTAAAAGTTCTCTTTGATCGTGAGTATTGTTAGAAAACTGAAGCTTTACATGTTGGCTTTGGGTTGTTGGTGGGATTTCACAGATACATTTTGGACCAACCCCCAGTATCGCCTGAAGCTCCTGGAGGAAGATGATGATCCTGAGGATGAAGAGGTTGTCTGCAGCTTCCTCGTCGCACTGATGCAGAAAAATAGGAGGAAAGAACGCAAGCTGGGAGCTAATCTGTACACCATTGGCTTTGCCATCTACGAGGTACCAGCTCTAGACTTTGTTCTTAGCACCATGGTCACAAATCCTGACAGTATGCATTTACCAAGAGAGTCACAGAATTGGTCAGCCTGACTACATGAATTGCAATTTTTTACTTTGCAAGGAACACAGAGGAAACCTGGAAGAAAGGAATGAAATTCAAGGCTTCTTAACCATTCAGCCCATAGTAACCTCAGGGTTTACCCCATCTATAAGTAACACACTTTTTAGGCTTTTAGGGTGACTTAATACCAGATTTCCACATATTCTTTCCCATATACCCTCCAATCACCCTTTTATCCCTGCTGAAACGAAACATTTCGTTAACAGAATAGTGTAAAAAAGGAAACAGACTTCCAAGACACATAGATAGCAATTAACCTCTGTCCCTGCTATCGACTTCATGAAGAAGTCAATTTACACAGTCCTTTGCACAAATATGTTTAGTTCAAATCTTAGAGGATCTCCTGCAGATCCCAAGAAATCTGGAAAGGAAGAAAGAAATGGCTTAGAATAATTGTACAACTTGGGGCATTTTATTTACTGGCTGCGTGCCCAGAAGTCTATGCGAACGTCCTTCTGTACGATCTATAAACGCGTGGACTCACCTAGCAGCTCTGACTGTTTCTTCTCTTTGTTTCTCCCTAAGGTGCCCAAAGAGGTATGAGCAGAGTCGAGGCAGATTGACAGCTTGGTGTATGCTCACAGATAGTGTTACTGTTGTGCCTGTCTGTAAGTCAGCAAGGAAACTATCCAGTTGAGTTTGTCTTCAGGGATGTAACAAAAGAGAAACTGCTAACCTTTCTGCTTTGAGTGTTTTTTAGTAACATTTTGTGAGTAATTTTTAATTCCTTCTCACCTGCACCCTGTTTTCACCTGCACCTTTTCCTTAGTCCTTCTTTTCTATTCACATGCAACCTAGCCGCGTCTTGCACGGTCTGTCAGTGACCCTGGGCTGCAGGGAAGCGGCGTTGGCGAGGACTTTGCCATTGCACCCCACACAGAAGCGCCCTGAACCACTTCCAGTTCCTCCTGCAAACAAATGCCAACAGCTGGTAGCCTGCAGCCACTGAGTTTTAGCTGTGGTCTCAGAATTTGTTTGGAAAACAAATGGTATTTTCAGCCATTGAAGAAAACGTATTAGAAGTACACAGGTTAAGTTTTTCTAAGCCTGCCAAGTAGCTGAATCATTGGCATCACAAGTTTTGCAAACAAACTCAGCTGAAGGCTGGGTTGCCTGGAAAACATGAAGATGACAGTCTAGATGTTGTCTTTGCCAACTGTTTTACAGGTGGTTATTCCTGTGGCAAACAGTTTACAGGAGCTCTTAGCCCAAAATTCTTGACTTCATTTTCATATCTGAATCAATGCAACGTTTTATTATCATGTTTTTTTAGCAGATACAGAGCTCATGTTTTGTCCAGGCAAGGACATGCTTCTACTGAAAGCACCTTCACCTTACCACACTGCACGCAGGTGTAGGCATGTACCATCTCTTGCCATGCCACCCTCCAAAGAAAGTAGCTGAAGTTTGCTTACACACAACTTCACATCCAATAAAACAGTCAGATAAAAGTGCCTACAGAGCAGTCAGCCAATGCTCTGCAGGTGGGCCCTGGAGCAGCCCTCAGAAGCCAGCTAGACCCAACCAGTAGCAACTTAAAGGTGACAGACTCCATATCTGTCCCCAGCAAGCATCCCTTGTCTGCTCCCTGCTTGCCAAGCTGCTGCTTCATTTGTGTTTTCTGTCCCAACCATGTACTGCCTGCATGACCTGGGGAACGGGTAAGACTTCCTTGAAGACAAACTGACTCATTTGTTCTGCAGATGCATGGTACTAAGCACCACTTGCAAAAGGATTTTTTCCTCTACAATGCCTCCAAAGCTAGAAGTAAAACCTACATAAACATGCGAGAAATCTCTGAGCGCTTCCGGCTACCTCCCAGCGAGTACGTTGTCATCCCATCGACATACGAACCCCACCAGGAGGGAGAATTCATCCTGAGGGTCTTCTCAGAGAAAAGAAGTCTTTCAGAGTAAGTTGCAGATCCATTTATCTGGCCTTAAAGGTGGAGGTGAGCTTGCCAGTCTGTTATAGTCATGTTCCCAGTTTGCTACACCCTGCTTTTAATTTTTTGAACCCCATTACAAACTCCAACCAGCAAACTCATTTCCCTGAGCTTCCCTTAGAGTCTAACAACAGCCTACTTCAAACTGTCTTTGGAGAAGCTTACTACTTGCAGGATGTCCCTTGTAAACATACCATTAGCCATTTTTAATAATGAAAATTAACCTGCTTGGGTTTTATTGCTGTATGCCACTGGGTAAAGTTTTGGCCAGATAAGTCGTTCAACCAGATCTAATTTTGGTCACAAATGAAACATAGAAGTAGGTGGTTATGTCTTTCCCGCCCTGCTCCTTAACTAGCTTCCCAGAGCTCAGCAAATTGCAGCCAGCGTCACTTTGCTTAGGACAAACAGCTTCTGTTTTGCTCCTTCCTGTCAAAGTTCAGTAGTATCGAGGCTCTTCAGAGGAGTAAACCAGGCAGCAGTGCTCCTGGAAGTGGTACTTGGGATGCTCGGCTCAATCCGGGAAAAGCTACATCTAGAGCCTGCAGCTGGAATGCTTGGAAGCCAGCTCACACTGATGCCTGTTTGGAAAGTTCATGTGGCCACTTACAAACCAGCTACAGAAAACAAGCAATGTGAGGAACAGCCACTTGCCCGATTTATTTACTTTCTGCTTTCTTCTAGGGAGGTTGAAAACATGATTGAGGCAGAGCGTCCATCGGTGAGTGCTGTCCTGGGCCTCTTCTCTATGTGAGTAGAAGCAGGGAGGGGAGGAGCATCACACCTGGGGAAACCTACAGCAGGAAACCGTTTGTGGCCACACGACAGCTCCTTTAGCACAAAATCCCACATTTCCTCATACTTTATTAACACTTGGTTTACATACACTACTTTCTATTTTGGACAGGCCAAAATCTTTTGCCAGATTTGAAGTCTGTTCCTGGCATAAAAAAGCTGGATGCCAAGCATTGCCTTTGAATACTCTCAATCGATGGAGTCATTTACTGGAGGCCTAGCTTTGCGCTATGAGATTTGTCTGGGAAATTGGTATCTCATCTAATAAAGAAAAAAGTACCTTATTCTGAAGTACATGCTTTCTGGAAAGGGATCCTACTGATGCTCTGATTCCAGCTAGCATCCAGGGCAAGCTCTAACTGTTCAGCCCATGGTTTTACACATCTATAGGGGAATACTCTAGAGCTAGCAACACAAATAGTCTTGGAAAAAACCCAGAGGAAATGCTCTTGCACAGAACAGAGTGCCATCAAACCTTCCTCAGATGTGTTCCCCTTCCGTATACTGCCATGATAACAAGATCAGCTCTCCAGATCTAGTGGTATTTAATTGCCACTTCAGATAACCGTTGATCTGTGGGCACAAGAGTCCAATCTCCGCTGCACTGACAGGCTGGGAAAAAGAGGAGTAGTCAGAGACAGAGGTATAACGGAGATTTTATTCAAGCAGGCAAAGCCCCAGGTGGGGTGGGATGGGATTCTGTTTTGCTATGGTTTCTGCAATTTCTGTCCTTCAATATGCAATTTCTTGGTGGGTGCTCTTCCCCCTCATTTTGAGATTTGAAAACTGTGTAAGAATGGGTAAAATAAACATGAGAAAGGGAAAGACGAAAAAAAAAGAAACTTTACCACCAGCTCTGCACAATATGCATAAAATCTACAGTCCTCTTTAAAACCACTTTTTTTCTCCTCACTTGTCTCTTTTTGTACAGAAGAAGAAGAAGAAGGGCAAGGTGGGTACCTGTGTGATGTGCTGGGTGCCAGCAAGACAAAGAGCATGTGCAATGCATGCAGCAGGAGCAGAGTTCCTCCATATCAGTAGTGATTTCTCTGCACCTGGAAACTGGTCCCATTAACGAAGGGCACTGGATAAGAGGCCATTTGCAGGCAGTAAAGACTTTGTCTTCCTACACTAAAATCTAATGAAATAGCTATAGCATCATACACCTCTCTCACTCAAGGGAGTGGCAAAAGGCTGACAGAAATTTTCAGCTTCTGGTGAAAATCGCCACTTCTCTAGTCGCATGCCCTCACTTTTGCTTTACGTTGCTTGCTGCAGCTGCTCTTCCCAGAAGTTTCTGCTCACCAGAGTCCAGGATTCTCCTTTTGATTCGACACAACACATTTAGGACCCTGACAACGTAACCAGGCATTTTAATCTCAGGGCAGACTGACTGCATTAATACTCTAGGGTAACATTTGCATCTTGTAGCAGCTTCCCTTCTTTTAAATGCACTAAAACCGAACAACTGCACGTGGCTGCTTACAGCTGGATGCTTCAAGAATTA